CCTCCAGTTACCCACAAAAACCTGAAACCACCATACGCAGCCCTAAGACTGTCACCCAGAAAGGGACTCCCTGTCTCCCAGTGCAGACTGGGGCTTCCCGAGCACAGGCAGCCTGTGCATCTCCGGAGACCCTGGTCCCAGCCCCTGGGCCTGGGATGAGCTCCTGTGAGCCTTGGGCCGGGACACGGAAGGATGCAGGGCACCTGTCAGGAGTTGGCCTCAGCAGCTTCCTCACCCCAGCCAGAAGAGTGCCCTGAGTTTAGCTGAGTTTAGCCCACAGCACTCCCCGGCACTCACACTCTCTGCTGGAGGCCCCTTTTATTATAATGATGATGAAGCTCTTTTTTCTCCTAAGATTTATTTATTTGAAAAGCAGACTTACAGAAAGAGAGAAGGACACATGAGAGGGGGAAAAGGGAGATGGGGAGGGGAGAAAGGGAGGGGAAGGGGAGAAGGGGAGGGAGAGTGGGAAGGGGAGAGGGAGGGATTGATTCCATCCACTGGTTCATTTCTCCAAAGAGACACAAGGGCCAGGCCAAAGCTAGCAGCCAGAAGCTTCCTCCAGGACTCTCACGTGGGTACAGGGCCCAAGTACTTGGGCATCCTCTGCTGCTTCCCCAGGTACCTTAGCAGGGAGCTGGACTGGAAGTGGAGTAGCTGGGACTTGAACCAGTGCCCATATGGGATGCTGGCATTGCAGGCAGGGGCTTAACTTGGTACACCACAACGCTGGTCCCTAGAGGCCCCTTTGAGGCCACCAAAAGAGAGAGAGCACAGGGCTGGAGTGAAGACACCCAGACCCCTGGAGGACGTTCTGGGCATCCTTAACTGCTGGGCACCGGTCAGTGTCCACCCTGGGGAGCTGGGGCTGCAGTCAAAAAGCACAACCCCAGCCCCAGGCAACCACGCAAAAAAAAAAAAAAAAAAAAAAAAAAACTTGGCTGAAAAAGAAACACAGAAGGCTTTGCACATCTATTTTTAGAACTGAAAACTGAAAATGCTACTCCATAAATACCCTCCCAGGGTCTGGCACCCGCCATGGCTCTTCTTGTGCCTGATGTCGCCCGCCATCCTCCTCTGCTCTCCCAGCCCCCAGGAGGCCCTGTCAAACCCAGCCATCCGTGCACGGGAGGCAGGGGCTGCTGTCCATCAGCCCTGCTGGGCACCCCCGAGGCGCTGTGATGGGCAGCACCGGGCTGGTCCTAACTCTCCCACTGCTCGCTGTCTCACCCAACTTCCCCTGCGAGCGGAGCCACAGCCTCTGTGATCAGTGCTGACTGATGACAGCTCACGCTGGTCCCGCACCATCCAATTCACCTGTCAACAGCTTAGGATCGGCTTCCCCAGGCATTTGGCCTTGTGGTTAAGATGCCAGTCGGGATGCCCGCAGTAGTAGATGATATGGCAGTGCCTGGGGTCCAGTCCCAGCTCTGCTCCCAATTCCAGCTTCCTGCTCACATACGTGCTGTGAGACAGCAGGTGCCGGCTCAAGTCACTGGGCCCCTGCCATCCCCATGGGAGACCTGGGTTGATTCCCCATAATGTTCTTATTTCTTTAGGTTTATTTATTTATCTGAAAGTCAGAGTTACACAGAGAGAAGAGAGACAGAGACAGAGAGAGAGAGAGAGAGAGAAAGCGGGGGGAGGGGGAGTCTTCCATCTGATGGTTCACTCCCCAATTGGCCACAACGGCCGGAGCTGTGCCGATCTGAAGCCAGGAGCCAGGAGCTTCCTCCCCTCCCGGTCTCCCATGTGGGTGCAGGGACCCAAGCACTTGGGCCATCTTCTACTGCTTTCCCAGGCCATAGCAGAGAGCTGGATTGGAAGTGGAGCAGCCAGGCCTTGAACCTGCGCCCATATGGGATGCCGGTGCTTCAGGCCAGGGCGTTAGCCCGCTGCATCACAGCTACGGCCCCACTCCCTATAATGTTCTAAAACACTAAATCAGAGTGGCACAACTCTGAACCTTTATGGGAAAAAACCACTGAATTGTACACTTAAAATGAGCGGACTGGGGGCAGGCACTGTGCACAGCGAGTTAAGTCGCCATCTGGGACACCCACGTCCCCTTCCTGAGAGCTGGGTCTCACCCTGGCTAGTCTGCTTCCAATCCAGTCTCCCACCAATGCATCCTGGAAGGCGCAAGTGCCTGGGTCCCTGCCCCACGGGGAGACCCAGATGGAGCTCCCAGCCACAGCTGCTGCAATCATCTGGGGAAGTGAACCAGCAGATGGAGGATTGTTTCTCTCTCTTTCAAGTAGATGATAATAAACAGCTCTCTGCTGTGGCCTGGGACAGCAGTGGAAGATGCCCAAGTCCGTGGGCCCCTGCACCTGCATGGGAGACCTGGAAGAAGCTCCTGGCTCCTGGCTTTGGATTTGCACTTCCGGCCATTGCGGCCAATTGGAGAATGAACCAGCAAATGAAGACCTTTCTCTGCCTCTCATCTCTCTGTGTAACTCTTTCAAATAAATAAATAAATCTTAAAAATAAGTGATGGGGCCAGCACTGTGGCACAGCAAACTAAGCTGCCACCTGTGACACCGGATCCTTACTGGAGCACTGGTTTGAGTCCCGACTACTCCACTTCTGATCCAGCTCCCCACTCATGTGATCGGGAAAGCAGAGAAGACAGACCGAGTACTGAGCACTGCGGTCCTGCGACCCATGTGGGAGACCTGCATGGAGCTTCAGGCTCCTGGCTTTGGCCTGGAGCAGCCCTGGCCACTATGACCATTTGGGGACTGACCCAGTGGACAGAAGACACCTTCCTCCCTCACTTCAAAAATATATATTCATATAAAATATATTTTATAAACTATAATATTACTATATTAATATAATAATATTAATATGTTATAAAATATTTTATATAATATGTATTTTAATGAGTGAATTAGGGGCTGGTGCTGTGGCATAGTGGGTAAAGTCGCTGCCTGCAGTGCCAGCATCCCATTTGGGCACCAGTTTGAGTCCCGGATGTTCCACTTCCGATCCAGCTCTCTGTGGCCTGGGAGAGCAGTAGAGGATGGCCCAAGTCCTTGGGCCCCTGCACCCACATGGGAGACCTGGAAGAAACTCCAGCTCCTGGCTTCAGATAGGTGCAGCTCCAGTCGTTGGGGCCATCTGGAGAGTGAACCAGCGGACTGAAGACCTTTCTCTCTCTTTCTATGCCTCTGCCTTTCTGTGAATCTGAAAGTCACAGTTACACAGAGAGAAGAGAAGCAGAGAGAGAGAGAGGTCTTCCATCCGCTGGTTCACTCCCCATATGGCCACAACGGCCAGAGCTGTGCAGATCTGAAGCCAGGAGCCAGGAGCTTCCTCCAGGTCTCCCACGTGGGTGCAGGGGCCCAAGGACTTGGGCCATCCTCTACTGCTCTGCCAGGCCACAGAGAGCTGGATCCATAGTGAAGCAGCCAGGTCTTGAACTGGCGCCCACATGGGATGCCAGCACCACAGGAGGCGGCTTTACCCACCACGCCACTGTGCCAGCCACAAATAAATCTTTTTAAAAAATGGGTGACGTGTACAGTACACAAATCCCACCACGGTAACACTGTTTTAAAAACCCCAGTACCCGCCTGTCCCACTACTTCTGTTCAGTGCCAGACCCGAGTGGGACCTTGCTCCCTGCAGACCCTCTCGCTGCCTCTGCCGCGGGCACTGGGAGGGCAGGCTTCCGGGCGGCAGAGAAGGGGGACACGCTACCCAGGTGCCAGGGTGGCCAGCGGGGGTGGGAGCTGGGAGGAGCTGCTGTCAGGGTGAGCCACGGCAGCTGCCACTTCTGTACCCAGGAAGGCTGGATATGGGCGGTCACCCACAGCCCAGCCTGGCTCACACCTGACGCCCACGTGACCGAGGAGCCTGGCTCACAGCGCAGGCTCCCCACCAGCAGCTCCACCTTGGCACGGCACGGCACGACACAGCACATCCTGGAAGCACATTTTCCTTCACGGGCCCACCAGGGTCCCTGGCTCCCGCTCCCCCGCGGCCCCAGACCTGTGCCCCAACGCCAACTCCCCAGGCATCTCCCAGCTCCTCCCCTTGACACGGCCTCCTCCACCCCCAGACAACTCAGGAAGGTGTCTTCCCTGAAGTTCCTACAGACCACACCTGGGTCCCCACTGTCCCCCGGCCCGGGGCTGCGGCTGTGGCTGGGGTGGGTGCATTTGGTGTCCTCTGCCTTGCTCCGAGGGGCTGTGAAATAAAGCCAGGAAGCCCAGAGGTGGAGGCAGGGCAGGCGCTCGCTGCCGCCGGGCCACCAGGCAGCCTTGGAGGCCTCTGAGAACCGCGGAGCAAGCAGAGGGGCCAAGGCAATCTTCTGTCTTTAGGTCACACAGAGAAGGGGTGGACACATCGCCGGTTGGGGCCCCTGGTCAGTAACAAGGTCTCCAGTAGCACGGGGGACATCGCCGCCAGCGAGCAAGTCTGCCCTGGGGCTGTGAGCTTCGGTCCACGAGCCACAGGTGCAGGAACACGCACGGAAGGGAGGGGAATCCATCACCCTGCTTCTCTCGCCAGGGGTTACCTGGCAGGTGTGAACTCAGCCCTGGCTCTGTGGAAGATGCTGGAGCTCCGAGCCCAGCCAGGAGACGCGGGTAAGACAGCGATGGGCACGCACCCTGGCGAGCTCCGGCACAGAGCTCCGGCAGAGCGTCGGAGGGTCCCGGGAAGACTCTAAGGCATCATGCTCCATCATGGTGCCGACTCGGAAGCCACTGTACGCTCAGACCCCTAAACCCAGGCCCCCCTCCCAGCCGGCAGGATGCAGTGGCCACACCTGTCTCTGCACACCCGTCTGAGGGGTTAGGAGGCAATGTGCTCTCGGCCTGACGCCCCTGGGTTATAAACCCACACCCTAAAAACCTCAAAGAGATCACGTGTTTTTCACTGCACTGGCTCCAAGCCGGCACCCACAGCGCCACGGCCAACAGCTGCATTGAGCCGACAGCAGTGCCCAGACACCATAAGGGGCTGGGGGGGAGGCAGCATTCACTCACCAGACAGTGGGTCTTTGCCAATCATCAGAACATTGGGCAAATTCATTACGATCAGCTGCTGGAGCACTTCCTACGGAAACAAAGGGGAAAAGACACCGTTAACAGCAGGAAACAGAAATAAAGAATGATTAAGTAAATTACAGCTAATGAGGTCACTGGGTGCGTGTGCACTCATTAAACGGTAGCTGGGAAGGCGCAGTAAGATACAAATAGATGTGATGAGTCAACAGCTAACTGATGTGCCGTCGATCATTATCAAGGAAAACAGGCCCTGCAGAAGGAGACACCACGGGGCCACGGCACTTTCTTCCCTCGAGATGACCACAATTATTTCCATCGTGTGGCTCGTGCGACTACAAAAGGGGAGACTCGAGGTGGCAGGGAGGCCACCAGGCCTCACAGCCTGGTTCAGGATGCAGGCACTAAGCAGGCACCGGTACAAGAGGAGAATTTTCTCACTTGCACAGGCTTCCCAGGGGAGGAGCCCCTCAGAGCTGCTTCAGCAAGGCAGGACCCCGGCCGGCCAACGTGCTGCCCGCTGGCCCTCAGGCCGAGGCCTCTGCAGGGAGCCCCACACCGGCCCCATGCACGCCCCTGGGGCCCTGCGGCCTCCACCTCCCAGGGCACTTCTCAGAGCACCCCAGTCTTCCTCTTCCTTTTTTAAGAGATTTTATTTGGGCCGGCGCCGCGGCTCACTAGGCTAATCCTCTGCCTGCGGCGCCGGCACACCAGGTTCTAGTCCTGGTTGGGGCAACAGATTCTGTCCCAATTGCTCCTCTTCCAGTCCAGCTCTCTGCTGTGGCCCGGGAGTACAGTGGAGGATGGCCCACGTTCTTGGGCCCTGCACCCCATGGGAGACCCAGAGGAAGCACCTGGCTCCTGGCTTCGGATCGGCGAGTGCCAGCCATAGTGGCCATTTGGGGAGTGAACCAATGGAAGGAAGACCTTTCTCTCTGTCTCTCTCACTATCTAACTCTGCCTGTCAAAAAAAAAAAAAAAATATTTTATTTATTTATTTGAGAGGTAGAGTTACCGACAGTGAGAGGAAGACACAGAGAGAGAAAGGTCTTCCATCCGCTGGTTCACTCCCCAAATGGCTGCAACGGCCGGAGCCCAGCCAACCCGAAGCCAGGAGCCAGGAGCTTCTTCCCGGTCTCCCACACAGGTGCAGGGGCCCAAGCACTTGGGCCGTCTTCCACTGCTTTCCCGGGTCATAGCAGAGAGCTGGATCAGAAGAGAAGCAGCCAGGACTAGAACCAGCGCCCATATGGGATACTGGCACCGCAGGCGGAGGATTAACCTACTGCGCCACAGTGCCAGCCCCTTAGTCTTCCTATTCTAAAAGCGACCCCTACAGAAATCCTTCACCAAGAAAGCTTTTCTTTTCATTATTTTATTTTATTTTAGGTTTTCAAAGATTCATTTATTTGAAAGGCAGCATTTATAGAGCACAGGAGAGATCTTCCATCCTCTGGTCCTCTCACAAATGGCCACCATAGCTACAGCTGGTCCGGTCAGCAGCCAGGAGCTTCTTCCGGGTCTCCCACATGGGTGCAGGGGCCCAAGGACTTGGGTCATCCTCCACTGCTTTCCCAGGCACATGAACAGGGAGCTGGATCAGAAGCAGAGCAGCCAGGACTCGAACCAGCACCCATATGGGATGCTGATGCTACAGGCCAGGGCTTTAACCCACTGCGCCACAGCACCGGCTCCTGGGGTGGGTCTTTGACACAGGGGTTAATACCCCACTTGGGACACCTACATCCCATACCAGAGTGCTGCGGCTGGGCTGCCCCTCTGCTCTGACCCAGCTTCCTGCTGATGCACACACTGGGAGGCAGGTGAGGGCTCAAGTACTTGGGGCCCCGCCACCCACCCGGCAGACCTGGACTGAGTTCTGGGATGCTGGTTTCAGTTTCAGTCCCAGCCCTGGCTTGGTAGGTATTTTGGGAGTGCAGCAACAGACAGAAGATCAATCTCTCTCTCTCCAAATAAACATTTCAAAGAAGAGACAGGTGCTTGGTATAGCAGTTAAGCTGGCCACGGGGATGTCTGTGTCCCTCAACAGAGAGCCTGGGTTCAAGCCGCCGCTCTGCTTCTGATCCAGCTCCGGCTAACGCATCACCCTGGGTGACAGCTCAAGTAGCTGAGACTCTGCCACCCACATGGGAGACCCGGATCAGATTCCAGGCTCCTGGATTGGGCCTGGCCCAGCCCTGGCTGTTCCGGCCATTTGGGGAGTGAACCAGCAGACAGAAGACGTCTCTTTCCCTCTCCCTTTCTCTGTGCAATGTGTGGCGTCTCTGTACACCGCAGGCTGCCTGCTGGCCCTGAGAAGAAAGGGGGGTGGTCACACATCCAGCGGACGCCCCAGGGCCCAGTCACGAGGTTAGAGCAGCGGCCCTCATGTGCAGGCTCCAAAGAAAACCAGGGTGACGCTACTTCCCGTTACCATCCCACCGTGGCTCCTGTCCACAGGGCCGATGCTCAGCCACGGGATGGACCCCGCTCCCAGCATGCCGGCCCCCTCCACCTGGTGTCCCGTCACACACGTCACCGCGTCAGCAAGGGCTGACGGTCCCCAGACACGTCTCGGGAAACACCAGCGCCCAAGTGTGAGCCGTGCAATGGCAACGGCATCGGTGCTCCTGCAGGTCTGGGACGGCGGCGCCGTGAAGCCGTCTCAGGGCTGCACGAGCTCCCCATGGCCCGCCTGGGCCCCCAGGGACGAGACGCACGCCTGGGAAACCCACCTTCTGGCTCACTCGCGCAGTCAGAAGAGGGTCCTACACAGCCCCCTCCCAGCTCAACCCTGAATTCCAGCACTCAGACCAACCTGGAGAGAACTAAGGCCACTGCGTCCGCCCGCCTCCAGCCCCTTCCTGGGGGCTGCCTGGGGTCTGGGGCTCGGGACCCCTCCTCATGGAGAATGGGCTGGGTACGGGATTCCACCTCTTCTGCTTTACGCCTTTGAAACGAACATGAAAGCCTTGGCAAACCCGCCAAGTGGTGTTTTCACGCGAACGCTAATCGAAGCATAATAGTGGAAATATTGCTAGAAAACCTACGTAGCCTCCTTCCAAAACAGGATGTTTAATTTTGTCTAATCAGTACTTTCTAAGTTTCCCACAACAAATATATGTCATTTGAGCAACTAAAAATGACATGTCGGGCCCGGTTAGGTGCAACAGGTTAAGTGGCTGCCTGAGATGCAGGCACCCCTCACTACAGCGCCAGTCCAGCCCCAGCTAATGCGCCTGGGAGGCAGCAGATGGTGGCCCAAGTCCTTAGGCCCCTGCCACCCAGGTGGAGTCCCAGGCTCCTGGCTTCCGCCTGACCCAGCCCCGGCTGTTGTGGTCATTTGGGGAGTGAAACAGTGGATGGAAAATACCAGCCCCCCATCTACTGCCTTTCAAATAAATAAATGTTTAAATAAAACACTTTTTAAAAGTCCATTCCTCTAAAAACACCAGAGGTGTCTCTTAAGCCCTAGTAGTTCAGCCAGAAACCCTCCAGCCCGTGAACTGAGTCCCCTAGGGGCCATCACTCACACTTGCAGCAAAAGCGGCAGGAGGCCAGTGCTGCAGAGTAACACAACTCCAGACACATGAATTTCAAATTTCCCAGCCGCTGACTTAAAAAAAAAAAAACACGGCAGGTGTCTGGCCCAGTGGTGACGACACCGGGGCCCCACGCGGCAGCGCCAACTTCCCGCTGACGCACACCCAGGTGGCAGCAGGGATGGCTCAGGGAAGTGGGCTCCTGTGACCCACAGGGCAGACGGGGACTGAGCTCCCAGCACCCAGGGTCGGTCTGCATTTAAAGACTAAGCGCATTGAAGGAGGCGCTCACCCTCCCTCTGCTTCTCAAACAACGTTAAATACAACAGGTGAATGAATTCTATTAATACACCTTAAGGCAACATACGCAAAATAGAATCCCTTCAACAGAAAATCAATGGAATAGTATTACTGAGCTATTCTACACTCTCTTTCCATCCCATGTCTTTCAGATCCATGTGCTTTTTACATGTACAGCACATCTCAATTTGGATGCTAAATTCTCACTGAAAATACTTGGTCTAGACTCAGAATTCATGAAATTTACAGTTGAAAAACACAGATTCCCATTCCTGGCTTGTTCCAAACACACCTAAATGTTTTCGCATAAGTGAACGGAAAGTCGGTTTTTAAATCCAAATGAATTAAGCTGGTAAGTTCACTTCCTCAGCCTCACCAGCCGCATCTCGGGCCTGGGCAGCCACATGTGGCTCCTGGGTGCCCGCGACCTCCCACACGCCTCTGCCCGCCCCAAGGAAAGCCCAGCAAAGGCTCGGAGCTCCCACGGCGGCGGCCGTCCCCGGGGCGACAGGCCAGGCCCTCAGTCCGGCGGGGACGTGAGGAGGCTGCTGACGAGGGGACCCTCCGCCTGGCAGCGGGGACAGAAAGCCAGTGTGCAGCCACAGCGGAGGCTGGTCTGCTGGTGAAACCTGGTCACACCCGCAGGAAGAGGGGGACGTGTGGGGCTGGAGAGCAGCCCTCAGACCCGCTGCCCGGCCCCTTGCCCTGGCCCCACCCCCCCCTTCCCAACCCCCGCCCCTCCTGCCGCTCAGTCCTTAGGCCCTCCTCCTGAAGCCCAACACCCCTCCCTCCCCGCACCCCTCCCCCCACTCCGTCCCCTCCCCTCCCCTGCCCCCACCTCTTCTCCCGCCCCTTCCCCGCCCCCTCCTGTGGCCCTGTGCTTCCCGGGCAGGAGGGACCAGACTCCACCCAGCTCCCTCTTGTCACCAAGCCCAGTGGCCTGGCGGGCAGCGCAGTCAGACCTGGGGTGTAGCCCTCCCACCGCCAGCCCCCAGCACATGGTGGTGGCGGGGCAGGAGCATCCAGGTGGGTTCGCAGCCCCTTCCCTCTCCTCCCCACTCCCCGCGGGTTTGCTCTCAGAGCCGCACCAGGCAAACTCCCGCTAACGGCACCCCAATGAACCCAAAGAATTCTTAAGCCACAGCTCCAAGAAAAAACAAAGGGAAAAACCAGGTCAGAGGAGGGCGTGTCTGGATCCTGCAGGCGCAGA